GAGCCGCAGCAACGGCGGCGGCAAGGACATGTGGGGTTGGTCGTGCAAGGAGAACAAGCGCGCCGAGGTCTTTGGCGAAAAGGTCGACTACGCACTCATCTGCCGCCTCCAGAACTGGGCCCTCATCTGCATGGTCATCGAGATCGTCATCGACGTCATCTGCGTTCTGCTCTACAGTATCGTCTTCTACCGCTACTACACCAAGCGCCGCCTCCATAAGTCCATGGACATGCGCGATCGCGCCCGCTCCGACCTCTACCTCGCTCAGCTCCGCTCCCAGTCCGCCCCCAACACTCCCGGCCTCAAGTCCCCCGGCCTCTACTCCCAGTACGCTCTGTCCCCTCGCCACCCGGACAAGACGTTCGAGAGCCTGTCCCGCATCGAGGAGGCCGGCGCCTCCCCCTTCACCCCCGGCACCCGCTTCGTCGAGCCCGAGTCCAGCTTCGGCAAGCCCAAGCCTGCCTTCCAGCTCCAGGCGCCCCCGACGAAGGCGCGCGCGGCGACCAAGCCGGGACAGGAGGCGTACACGCCCACTTCGCCCGAGGGTCCCGGTCCGGCATTCCCCTTCCAGCAGCAGCAGCAGCAGCAGGCGCCGTCATTCCACCAGGAGCAGCCCCAGGCTCAGCAACACGCCCCCATGGCCGCGGACGAGCCCGTCTACGACGCAGTGCCCATCCCCGGCGCCTATGCCGACGCGCCTGTCAAGAGCCCGCCGCCGCACCAATACTCCTTCGGCCAAGCAAGATAAAGACGACTAAAAAAAGACGAGCAAAAGGAGGGATGTTGGAAAGAAAGAAACGGTGTGATGATCATGAGGACGAGCGAAAGAACGTCAGAGCCTGCGTGTGTGCGTTCCAAAAAGGAACAACTTCTTTTTTATCCTTTTTTTCTTTGTATTCAGCTGAGCTGGCTTTTTTTTGAACAACCACAAGACCCCCTACCACCCACTCACGCCTTTCTTCATCTCTCTCTTTTGACAGGATTCTACTTTTATATACCATTCTGGGCGTTGGGAAAGGAGGGAAATCTCAAAGAACAGGGTCAAAGACTTTGGACCTTTGTTGCAATTTTTGGGACAAGGGCGATATATTTACTTCGGTGGTTTATAGCAGTAATTTCAAACCCAAAACAAACTGTACAATTCGGAACCAGACTTGACTCTTTCCCTTGTCCTTCTATGTGACTGTTGTCTGTTCTTTCTTCGATCTCGCTCCGAGTCATTGGTGTAAGCCGCGGCGGACCCCCGGGCCCCATTTTACATACCAGGTCTTCCGTGCCCTCGGAGACCCTCATCCACCCCATCCACCACAAACCCCACGACGGAGATCCCACAAATCCAACCCGGTATGAACCACCTCGTCGCCATCCACGATCACCAATCTTTAAACAGCCTGCCCGGCTAGCTCAATCGGTAGAGCGTGAGACTCTTAATCTCAAGGTTGTGGGTTCGACCCGTAAGCGCCATTGCCTGTCCCAAAAGATCACAACATTCGGACAGTATTACTAACATATACCAGCCACGTCGGGCTCAATTCCCGTCCGCGATTGACGCAACATATTTTTTTCCTCTTTTTCCTTATTTTTGACCTTGAAGCTCGTCGTTAGGGCTGTTGACTTTTTGATCCTCCTCGTTTTTGCTCGGATTAAATCCTAAAAGATACATATACACTTTTATGTAAGTGATGTGTTGTGATGTAGCGATGGGAACTAACGATGGTGGAGGAATGATATATGACCTGTAGGCGCCTTTGTGGTAGAAACCAGAGACTCTTGGGTACCAAACTCCCCTCACACGAGATCATCATCTGGTGTTTCGCCCAACTTCTCACTATCACTCGCTCTCTCAGCCTTGCCTCGGCCTAAGAAGACAGCCAGGTAGGGTATCAGGATATTCACACTGGATCCTTGAACTGTAAAGAAACAAGTTCAAGGTCTGCGCTGCATTATCACGCAAAACCGTTAATTACTGTGACAAAACGAAAAGACTTGTGAAATCACGACCTGGTACGTGGATTGCTGCCAGCTCTTATATATCCAGCCCAAGCTTTCTCTCTCGAAGTCAAGTAGAAAACTTCGTTCAAATCATGATCTCATAAATATCGTGAAGATGACAAAATATGCTGGTAGCCGTATGATGCTTCCCTGATGTGCTCCCTGTCAATATCTCTATCCAACTCCATGCTTCGCTCGTAAGTTAAAAAAGACAACTGAAATTCCTTCAAACACGACAATCCCGGTTGCTGGCATTTCCCATCCTTGAGGGAAAAGAAGGAGAGATGCTCAAGTCACCCAATGAATTCCGTACATAGCAAAGGCTCCCACGGCTGTCCCGTAAGCCACACATTTTCCATGAGCACTCTCGCCTTGGAGACCTATTCAGAAAAAAAAAGTCAGCTCACAGGTCACTAATCATGAAACCAGTGTTACAAGACAAAAATCTTAGCCAAGCTCGAGTTCGAACATACCTGCGTCATTCCGTTCCTCTCCACACTCTGAAACCTCTCCAAAATCTGGCTCCTCTGCAGCCTCTCCAGCGCATGACACCCAGCTGTGAACATGGGAAACAAGAACCCCGTCTCCGCCGACCCGCCAGGCGCAATACCCTCCAAGCACGCCACGATCCTGCCTACCGGTCCCTGGACGTCTTCGTGGCCAGGCGGCTTACCCAGGATGCGCCTGTGTAGGTGCACAAGTCCAGCCCAGTGGAATGCCTCGTTCAATTGGGCGATCTCCTCCCTATTATCCCGCCCTTCGATTTTGACGCCGGTGTCCTGGCCTAGGTTCTGGCTCTGGGTGTTGATGGTAGTGTTGTGCCTGCTCGGGCAGGACGGCTGCGCCATGCTGTTAAAAAGCTCCTGCTCCAACAACTGAGCCCGCTCGACACAAGCCGCATTCGGATACCAGGCGAGTTGCGGCGAGGAACCGCTTAGCGCGAATCGCTGCTCGTCGCAGCGGCGCGCCAGCTCCGCGATCTGGGCTAGGATCTGGACACAGCGCGTGGTAAAGCCCATGACGCAGTCAATCTCATCCTGGCTGTCGCCGGGATTGTGGACCGTATACTCAAGCAGCCAGAACCTCGAGGAATCCGCGTCGGGGACGCCACCACCGCTCAAGCTCCCCAGGACATCCAAGTACGCGAACCAGCTCCACAGGAAGGCACACGCGCTGTCCTCCCGTAGACCGTTCTCGGCGCTCCTGCGCAGGTCCGCCAGCCGCCTCCACATGAGCGTCCGGGCCAGGTTCAGGTGCCGCTGCCAGGGGATGTCGAACCCGAACGCCGTGGGCGAGATGATCTCCAGCGAGGCGAGCATGATGGCGGTGGCGAGGCTCGTGTTTGAAATGATTTTGTCCCTGTCGTTGAGGGCCTGCCGCAGTGCTGGAAAGATGTCCTGCACCCAGATTGCTATCCTCATCTGTGGTTCCTTCTTTCCGAGAAGTCTTGACCTATGGGCGGCTGTGACTAGGTCGTCAGATCAAGACGATGGAGCAGACAGGAGATATAATTACCCGAGTAGGCCAGGAGTAAGCTGAGGAGGTGGTCGTTACCGACAGCCATCTGCGGCAGAATCGTGCGAAACGGGTTGGATTGGGGGTCGTCATAAGGCACGAGAACTATCTCTGAGTCAGTAAGCTTGAAAGTCGGAAGAATAGAACCCCTTACCCCTGGCCGTATGGTTCAAAAAGTGATGCTGTCGTTTAGACATTAATTCATGACTGGAGACAATGAGATTACTTGGCCACCTACGAAGTACTGTTCATCAATGTCATCAGTGTCATTTAAATATCTACTTGGAGATCCAAAGTCTGACTTACAAGGATATTCATTGGGTTTTCTCGAAGCCTTCTATCAGTCAGCCTCGAACTGGTCAAAGATAGTAGAGACTCACTTGGCAGGGATGGGCTCAATGCTTCGCGGTATCCATATCGGAATAGGCTGGCCATAGTACCAGACCCTTGGCATCGTGCCATTAATGGTCCCGGATTGTTGGGAATAGGATCCACCACACATAGCTTGAAGGAAGTGCCTAGAATGTCTAGTAGAAGATGCTGTTGAAGATATGGATCCCGTGTCATCATTCTGGGCAATGTCAGCATCTGGAATGCCAAGATCGAAGCCATAAAATGTAGCTTCTTCTGATACATCCTGTTTGCATTCAGAGTTGTACAGAGGCGGACCAGATGGATGAATCACTCCCTTGTTTGCACCATGCATAACGCGGGAAGAACTCGAGATTAGATAGTTCACAGATAGTCGACTATCTTCTGGAGACGCCGGTGAAGGAAGGCTCAAGGCAGGCAATCTCGTCTCATCGTCAGACTTGATCACCAACGAGACGGGCGTCAAGGGGGAACCGGTCGACGTTGAGATAGCACCCGAGGTTAGGAAAGACGTGGGAGAGCTTTGCCCGATTAGAGAGATTGGCGAAGACATGCGGCCGTACTGGCTCAATATATCCGGTTGACCTGTCTCAGCGAGGGATTTGGACCTCTTGTATAATCTTGATGAAGCGTTTGCAGTCGCGGGAAAAATTCGACGGAGGCTTGATGTCGAGGAGTGGTCTCGTGCATTGTACTTTGGTGCACTGCGCGGTGGAGCAAATAGGGCGCCATTCTGGTGCTGGATCAATCGGGAGGACGTATTCTGAAAACTCAAGTAGTCATCACAAGTCTCTAACTGCTCAAGCTTTCTTTTCCCTGCCTCGACGCCGACAGGAGCAGTGAGGACGCGTTTCGTTACAGGCTTCGGATCCGAATTCTGAGTCGGGTTGCTAATGGTAAACGTATGATTGAACGGCGGTTGTTCAGTGCGGGAGGAGTCTTTAAATGGCTGAGTGATCCCCGTGAGTGTTCCCAAAGAAAGAGATCTCTTCGTTCGACGGCCCTCCCAATTTAGTCGTACACTATAATCGCAAGGCTCCCCAGTGCGTTGGCAACTGTGTATGTACGTTAGCCGTCCACCGATTGTAGTCTCTCACGCAGACAGTGTCCCAAAGCCAACATCACTTTTGTACAGATAAAACGAACTTGATACACGTTGGGTGTTCCTCACCACATTTCACTTTCCGGGCTTTGCACGGCCTGTGGGCGGGCATGTTAGTCATTTGAAGACGATAGTGAGACTGAAAGCAGGCCATATACATCAACGCTACAGAGCGTTGTGAACTTACCAACAACCATTTCGGCTTCGACGTTTCGGCTCCGGCGCCCCTGGCTTCTTCGGACGTGGCATACTGGACCAGAAACCTCGATCCTGGCAATGAGAAAGGGACGAGCCGAACCGAAAAGGGGCGGGGTCAAGGCAGGTTGATTGGCTAGTTCATGCTACGCGAACATGCAGCGCAGGTAGGGAATCCGGAGGCCTGCGTCTATGAAATTTCCATATGTGAGATGGTTGAGCGCACTGTCTTCACTATCAACGCTGAAGGTAAGTTGTAGACTACGTTTGAGACCGCTTGCGACAAGGCCGGGTCGCCCACTTCGTAGAACGGATGTGCGCGCTGTTGAACATGAGGTACGCCCAAACGTCGTTTATAAGTACGGGGTGTCACTGGCGGGCGAGATCGGGCCCGAATTGGGTTGCGGTATGGCAGCGCCGATTGCGGGATCGTAAGCGGCCCAATGCTGGCCTTTTCGCGTCCACGTGAACAACATACAGCCTCACTTAGTTGAGTGGACTTGAGCTGATATGCAGCTGCATCGTGAGGCCCGTCTGTATCAGTTGCGAGGCTTGCGGGGATGCTGCATCATCGAATTGCTTTTTCCACTCCATTTCACTTATGCCCTTCTGTGGGGGTCTGTCGAGCAGTTTGGTCTCATGTCTTTCATTACTTGGCGTCTTTCGACGGAACGGGCTATACGATGTCGATGTTGAGGATCTTGATGTCCTCCTCTGGTTTCTCCTTATACGTCCGCGCGTTCTCGATCTTGTGGACAACGTCGAACCCTTGGGTTGCTCGCCCGAAAATGGTGTGCTTCCCGTCCAGCCAAGGCTGTTTGTGACTGTTAGGACTGCATTATATCTAAGTCACCGAGTTGGGTTGTACTCACCGTCTTTTCCGTTGTTATAAAGAACTGACTGCCATTGGTGTTTGGGCCTGCATTAGCCATGCTGACTGTGTATGGCTTGTCGTGCTTCAGACTGCTGAATTCATCTGCGAATTCCTTTCCCCATATACTCTCGCCACCCGTGCCGTCGCCGAGTGGATCTCCACCTTGGATCATGAACTTGCGAATCACACGATGGAAGATCGTATTGTTGTAGTAACCACTCTTTGAGTGGGTGACAAAGTTCTCAACAGCCTTGGGTGCCGCATCGGGGAAGAGACGAATGTGAATGTCGCCATAGTTGGTGTGGATTACTGCGGCGGTTCCGGTCTCTGCTTTCTTGGCCTCTTCTGCCTTCTTCTGGCCAAGCATTGTAGGCTTCTCGTTCTGAACGTCTCGCACTGACTTTGAGATTTCTTCGTCATTGGTAAACAAGTAAAATCGCTGCTTGTTGACTCCTGTCGTTATCAAGATGGGGTCTCTGGACTCGGACTCCTGGAGCAGGGGATTGGCAGAAGCACCCATCTCGACTGTAGTAATGCCCTTCTTCTGCGGTTGACCTTGGTATATTGCCAGGTTGACGGCTCTGAAGTTCTCTTCTTTACCGTAGACCTTGACGATCTGGTTGGTATAGGTATTCAGCACTTTAACGCCGGATATTGAGCCGTAAAGAATGAAGTTGCCAGACTCGTCAAAAATGACGTTCGCCTTGTCTCTGTACGCTGTCGAGTCAATTTCTCGCTCGACCGCGAATCTGCGGCCGAACTCCACAGTTTCGAGTTTTTGCAGTGCCAAACCAGCATGCTGCATATCCTCAATTACTTGAAGAGATTCGTCATATGTTCGATACAGCTTTCCAGACGCAAAGTCAAAGATTCGGATTTTCCTGTCTGGCTGAGAGAAGGCGGCAAATTGCTTGCCTGTCGGTGAAATCGTGATAGATGTCGGCACTGCTTTCGCCTTCTTGAAGTCGAATAAATTTGTTGAAGCCTTGAATTCGAATACATTGTCCGGTTTCTCGTAGTCGCCGCTTGGTCGCCAGTACTCCAGCATGCCCTTGTCGTCCGCAGACAGCACGCAGTCGTAGGCACTATTGAAAGCCATGATTGAGACCGGACTTCTGTGTAGAGACTTGATTGTGTGAATCGGGTCTTGCCTCTCTCCCCTGCCATCGAAAATGTGGATTTTGGAGTTGGTTTCCTCGGACACCGCAAGGAGAGGTAGCGAAGCCCCTCGGTTGTGAACCCAGCAAAGACATCTCGGCACAAAGGTCAACTTCAGCATCGCCAGAAGATCAAACGTGATGACATCGAAGATTTTAACAGTCTTGTCTGCCCCGGCGGTTGCAAAGCTTCTCCCGTCCTGGCTGACGGAGACGGACCTGATCTCGTCCGCATGTGCCTTGAACTCCTTGACGAACTCTATCCCCTCAGCCACCTTTTTCCAGAACTTGACGACACCGTCGACAGATGAGGTAATAATGAAGTCCGTCAGAGGCGTCACTGTAACGAAAGACAGCTGCTCCTTGTGCATCAGAGACTTGGAGTACCGGGTCGACTTGGGCAGCGCAGCAATATAGAGCTTCTCGTATGGAAGCACGCGACGCTTCTTCTTCTTTGGTGCTTCGGAGGGGAGCTGGGGACCCATATCGTCATCGGAGGAGCTGTCTAGCCACGCCGTTAGTCCAAGTTTTGTCGGAAAGAGTAGTGCTAGAACATAATTCTAGATCGCATCGTGTATGCTTACCGTCATCTTGGGCAACAAGGTCCGCATGACTTCGTTTGTTGGTTATGGCGTCGTCGTCAGCCATATTGTCGATGCTGGAGGTCAAAGGCACAGCGACGGCGAGTGTGGTGACCGTGAGTGCAGGTGCTCGTCGCGTGGTAAGGCTGAGATGGAAATCTAGGAAGCTTGAGGTAGTTTGCAGGAAGCTATGTCAATTGATCCAATCAGATGAGGGTACCGGGGAAGTGGCAGCCAACGTACAGCAGCCTTGCTGCCGGCACTGGACCCACTGTGAGCTGCTTCTTAGTTTGGCTTTAGCGGCCGGCAACACATGCCGCGGGCTGCGATGGGGCATCCAGGATTCCAGGTTAGGGGGCCTCCGTGGATCTTTGGCGACACTGGAGGTGCGATCAGGTACGGGGCACCGCGCCGCCGGGATCCATCAGTGACCTCATGACGAAGCCTTCCGAAGGCACCGGACAGTTGCAACTTGCCGCGGTCCGTCAGCCTGACGATGCATCGGTTGGAACCCTGATTAGTCGGCAACGACTTTTTCTTCCAAAGGCAGATAAATGAATAACAAGTCACCCTTGTAGCGAATCTCACCTTCATAAAGTTTTCGTCTCAAGGCATCAACGACATACGACGACCCAATCCCTCGGATTTCTCTCCCTCCCGTTCCTCAACAATTCCTTTCCTTTGGGCTCGTCTCGTTGCGGAAGTGCCATCTCATCCCTTCTTTTACATCAAACTACCTGACACCAGAACTACAACTGTGGGACAAGCAACATCATTGTCAACATCGAGACAAACTAAGATGGCCAAGCATCAGTTACAGCGGCTGCAGTCGCCGTCCCGGACAGCGTCTCTGTTGCTGCACGTCACCGGCATCGTATCGTTCATCGCATCCTTCAACTTCCTGAATGGACTCACTCACGACATCTCCATGGGTTTCGGAGGAAACTACCAGCACCTCACCAATATCGGACTGATTTTGTCGTTTGTGACATTTGTGATAGGGCTGCTGGCCGATATCACCCTCAGCCCTTCATTGTTTGCTGTAAAGAACGCCCTGTCGACCACGGCAGCACCGCTTGAGGTGCTCATCAGCATCTTGTACTGGGGAATCCGCTCCATTGACAAGCGATTGCTGATTCCCGAGGGATTCGAACTTCACTGGCTACCGGACGTTGGATTCCACCTGGTCCCTGCTGTGGTCCTGTCTCTGGACCTTATTCTGTTCAGCCCGCCATGGACGATTCGCGCATACTCGGCCATGGCCATTAGCATGATCTTCGCTTTCCTGTACTGGGGCTGGGTTGAGCTGTGCTTCAGCAGGAACGGATGGTAGATTGAAGGATTACCCTCTTCGACCCATTGTATAGCCCGCTAACTAGATGCAGGTACCCTTACCCTATTTTCGATGTCCTCAACACCGTACAGCGCGTGGGGTTGTTCACTTTCTCAGCCGCGCTGATGACCGCGAGTACCAGTCTCTTGAAGTGGGTGTATGGCCGATTTAACGGCTATGTGAAGATGGAGAAGGAGGCTTACAAGCCCCTGAAAAAGACGATCTAGACTTTGATGGAAGGTGGTGTGTTGTAGATTGATGCTAAGGGTTCGTGGGGTTCCAAGCGACATCGGTGATGTTCGATACAGATTTTGAAGTTTTTGGAGTAATAGATTGGATATGGTTAGAGGATATGTCAAATTAGGGCGCCTTTGGAATAAAACCAAGGTACCATACCATCCTACCATGTGCTACAAATATTCGTCCCCGATAGGTTGAAGGAGAAGAAGCTACGTAGACATCCCACCTCAGGGCAAGTCAAAGTCGTCGAAGCACTGACTACAGTCTGCAATAGTAATGCCCGTTCTTCGGTGCTGTCGCGGGCATTTTCCAGGCGGTGAGACCCATCTTGTGGCGCCATTGAGACCGGCTGGACAGGTCCACAGGGGGCAACCCTCACGTCACGGCCATAATTCAGCGAGAAAGATGCGGCAAGGATACCCCTCACTGTTGGCCCATTGGTTCACTGGTGGCAAGTTTGCTTGCGCTTGCATGAGGCGGGTGGCCCTGACTTGAGGTTACGCAGTAGGCTGGTGGTGGTAGTGGTAGTCAAGGTAGTGTTCAACTTTTTTCTGGGTCCGTCTTCGGCGGGGTACTGCCGGCCGGGGTGGCACTGGGCAGGGGGACGAATGAGTCTTCGCCCATTTGTGCTCAGGTCTGATGTAAGGTATTGCAGTCCTCTCGAAGCTGCCCTCCTTTGGACACAGCAACCTACAAATCCAGAAGAGAAAAAAAGTCTATTTTGCTCTTTCAATTGCACTTTCTTCACTTGTCAACTATTTCAGTGTTCCTTTCAATCGACTCGTTCAGCATTCACTAAGCATTCAGCGTCCAATTGCATCTTGCTTTTGAAGTTCCTCGCCGCCACCATGTCTGTAAGTCAGCTCTCGCGACCCCCCGGCCACCGCGCGCAAGTACAACACCTGTGACTCACCACTTATTTGCAGAGCTTCTTCATCGAGAACAAAAATGTTGGCAACAAGGCCGAGAGCGAAGATTGGAGAAGTACAAACTGCATTGATACTTTCTCAGTCGTCAAGTCAAGCTAATTGATGTCGTAGTTCGCGGCTACAACCCGCTGACGTCGCCCGATCTGCTCCAGCATGAGATTGCCCAAACCCCCAAGTCGAAGCAAACAGTGATCGAGGGTCGTGACGAGTCCGTCGCTATCGTCAATGGAACCGACAAGAAGGAGAGACTACTGGTCATCATTGGCCCTTGCTCCATCCACGACCCCAAAGCTGCTCTCGAGTACTGCGACATGTTGCTACAAGAGAAGGAGAAGCACAAGGACGAACTCCTCATCGTGATGCGCTCCTACCTCGAGAAGCCCCGCACGACAGTCGGATGGAAGGGATTGATCAACGACCCGGATATCGACAACAGCTTCAAGATCAACAAGGGTCTGCGCCTGTCGAGACAGCTCTTCGTCGACCTCACCGACAAGGGCATGCCCATTGCCAGCGAGATGCTCGATACCATTTCGCCCCAGTTCCTTGCCGATCTGCTGTCCGTCGGCGCTGTTGGCGCGAGAACCACCGAGAGTCAGCTGCACCGAGAGCTTGCGAGCGGTCTCAGTTTCCCCGTTGGATTCAAGAACGGCACTGACGGCTCGCTCGGCGTCTCCATTGATGCCATTGGCGCCGTCAGACACCCTCACCACTTCCTTTCTGTTACCAAGCCCGGTGTCGTGGCCGTCGTCGGTACCCTGGGCAACGAGGACTGCTTCACGATTCTCAGAGGTGGTACTCGTGGCACCAACTACGATGCCAAGAGCATTGCTGAGGCCAAGGCTGCCCTGGAGAAGGCCGGTCTTCCCCAAAGACTCATGGTCGATTGCTCCCACGGCAACTCTCTGAAGAACCACAAGAACCAGCCCAAGGTTGCTGCAGACCTCGCTGGCCAGATTGCCGGCGGCGAGACTGGCATCATGGGTGTCATGATTGAGAGCAACATCAACGAGGGTAAGTACCTGTCTAGATCATTGCATGTAATTGCAGATGCTAATTTCCCAATAGGCAACCAAAAGGTGCCGAAGGAGGGCAAGGAGGGCCTGAAGTACGGAGTCAGCATCACAGACGCATGCATCCACTGGGATGACACCATCTCTGTGCTCGACCAACTGGCCAACGCAGTGAAGCAGCGCCGCGAAGTCATCAGCAAGAATGGTGCTTGAGTAGCTAGTTTCGAACCTAATGATTTTGTGCAACGGTAGTGAGTTCTATGGGATACAGACTAGCCACAAGGCGTGGCTGTCGACTCAGCGAAGGGATAAAGTGTGCATATACCGATAGCTGCCCGCCGTAGATCGCGGGAGCTACATTCGGTTCGGCGAGGTTGAAAAGTTTTGTAGTTTTGTCGAATAAAACCCACCTGATACCCAACTCTTTTGCTACCTTTTCAACAACATTTCGGTATTTCTCATGATGGAGGAGCTGCCGAAGACTTCGGGCTCAATGCAGTTACTGGAAACGTTGCTCGAAGTTTATCGCCCTTCAGAATAAGTATGGTAGGGGGTTTGGTTTGAAATGACTATTTTATCGTCTAATGTCGTGTTGTGATGCATATGGCAGATCGCTGCAGTTGCATCCAAGTCAGGCCAATCATGGGGGCGACATTTCTCAGTCCGAGGGTTGGCAGACGCCAGCTGTTGGGTTCACTTGGGTGAGACGGGCGATCGGAAATACGTGTGGTCAATTGAGTGCAACCGGGCAACTACGGGTAAGAGGAAGGAAGCGAAAAGTCGCCGGAACGGAAGATGTCATTGACCGTGCCCATCAGCCAATCAGAGACGTCCCATACCTAAGGCACTCGAAAACTGCCTCAAGCGATTTTCTCCTACCTCGACTGCTGTACCATAGAAACGATCTCCGCCACGAGACGACCTCCCACCAATTGCCCCATCAATCTGTTCGCGGCTGTCTCTGTAGCTGCGGATACGGCTCGCCCATCATGTTGGCAAGGTCCTGCTTGCGCTCGGCGCGCACTTTCACAAATGGCGCTGTCACGATTTCAAAGGTACGCAAATGAACTGATCACGAGTCGAAATTCCCGAGGCAATCCGACCGACCGCCAACGAACACGCCCGAGCCCGGCCTCAATGGCCATCGAAGGACATCAATGGACATCAAGGACTCTGGGGCAAATTCGCTGACGATGATTGATGCAGCGTGCCGCCTCTACTTCCAGCGGTGCTGGTGCCGAAGCTTCCTCTAGATTGAACCTCGCCGCCGTCACGTCGACGTCTCTCGCCTTGGGCTCCATGGCCTGGTACTACCACCTCTACGGACCTTCCGCCAACGCTGCCGCACCGGCTGAGGAGGGGTGAGTCTTTTGTCTATCCATTTGCGGTCGCCGAGGGACAATTGCGCGAATGCCGCCGAATCCCTTGGGTTGAGGCATAATCGACATTGAAACCGGGGCCGACCGACAGCAATCGATCATTGAGCTAAATTATCATCTTCAGTCTTCACCCTACCAACTACCCTTGGGTTCACGAGCAATGGTTCAAGACCTTTGATCACCAGGCGTAAGCAGAACACCACGTCGATTTTTTTCGGCCATCTGAGATGTATGACGCTTACATTGAATTGCAGTCTCCGCCGTGGTTTCCAGGTCTACCGCGAGGTTTGCGCCTCTTGCCACTCTCTCAGCCGTGTCCCCTACCGAACTCTCGTCGGTACCGTCTTGACCGTCGACGAGGCCAAGGCCATGGCCGAGGAGAACGAGTACCCCGGTGAGCCCAACGAGCAGGGTGACATCGAGATGCGCCCCGGCAAGCTCTCCGACTACATGCCCGACCCCTACAAGAACGAGGAGGCTGCTCGTTTCGCCAACAACGGTGCCCTTCCCCCCGACCTGAGCTTGATCGTCAAGGCCCGCCACGGTGGCTGCAACTACATCTTCAGCTTGTTGACCGGCTACCCCGAGGAGCCCCCCGCGGGCGCCGTCGTCGCTCCCGGCATGAACTTCAACCCCTACTTCCCCGGTACCGGTATCGCCATGGCCCGTGTCCTTTACGAGGACCTCGTCGAGTACGAGGACGGCACTCCCGCTTCCACCTCGCAGATGGCCAAGGACGTTGTCGAGTTCCTCAACTGGGCTGCTGAGCCCGAGATGGACGACCGCAAGCGCATGGGTATGAAGGTTCTCGTTGTTTCGGCCTCCCTCTGGGCCCTCAGCGTCTGGGTTAAGAAGTACAAGTGGGCCTGGCTCAAGTCGAGAAAGCTCGCGTACGACCCTCCCAAGGACACCAAGGTTCGCCACTAAATTAGCATGGCAACATTTCGGTTGTCTCTGTGTATGTTATACTAGGCTCTCTAAAACAGCTCCTTTGTTAGTGGAGGCGGCAGAGACGAGATTCATCGTTGGGAGCAATATGGGGAGCGATAGAGTGTAAATCAGATGGTCCTTTTTCAATACCTGACTCCTTGATAATGACAAGACAAGATTAGAATTTCATGCGCCAAACCCACGCCCACGTTTCAAAGTGATGTTCCACGGAGCAAAGTACTACCACAACTTGATGATCAACCTGCAGTCATGAAATGAAGTAGATGAGCCTGCTTCGTGCCATCAGTGGGAAACATCTCGTTAGACGCGGAGTCAAGGAGACAGAGCTGGGTATACTACCGGTTGATACGCGATGCAAACATCGACTGTCGCAATCAACGGTGTCTTGAACATGCGTTCCCTCGGCCATTGATTCGCCGAAACGCAGTTGCACCTTACTTTTTTGTAGGTTGATAGAACAATGCGAGGTTGGTACGTAAATGCATGTCCGTACCCATTTTCATAACTTTTTGTTTTTCCTTTTCAGATAATCAGAAAGTTGTTTCATCTCATGTTTTCCTCTCAGACCCCTAGCTCGCACACAAAGTTCTGTGACTTTGCAGGCATTTAAAGTGTCGTTTGTCGCCGATGGCCACCCAGTTTCTGAGCAACGACATTGACTGAGGAGTGAGTGGCCGGGGTTTGCGTCGACCTTGAGCAGGTAGTCAGGGGTTGTCAATTGGTGGAAGAGACGAATCTTGGTGGGTCTTTTGGAGGTGCTCCAGCAACGTGCTCCAGAGGCCGCGCGAGTTAAGAGGACCTTGGGCTGGAAGGAAACGATCGGTTTTCCAGCGGACGGCGCGCTTTCCGAACAGTTGGATCCAGCGCTGTGTCCGCTGAGATGACTGCGCTGACAGAACAGAAGCAGCCGAAGGTGGAGAGCACGACGCCGACCAATCCTCTGTTTCCTTCGTCGCCCGTTGGTGTCCACTTCACCTCATTAAACTGGGCAACTTCCGTCAGGCCTAAAAGCTCCGAGCCGGGGCCTGGCCATCAGTGCCACCTCAAAAACACCCTGCCATCCACTGCCAGTCCTGCCAGAGCCTGCTCACATGGACGTAGGTATGTGCCTGCAGCTAACTAGCAACACCACCACTACCACCACCATCTTCCCTTCCCCCCTCCTCCAACGAAGGAGCTGCCGAGTCAAGAAGAGCGAGCGGGAAAGAGCGTACTTCACTCGTCATCAAGTCCTCCCCTCTTCTTGTGAGCTCTTTCACTCTCCATTTCTGACCAGAAGCAAGCCCTCAACGGTTTGGTTCGTCGCCTTCATAACCCTTCCATTCGGTTCCTCTTATTCATAAGAGAAATCTACGAGGAACCTTATCAGCGAACCTCGCCTTGCCCACCACGCATTCAACCACCACCAACGCCTAGTCACTCGCCCCCTTCCAACGACAAGAAAACCTCTTGCATCGATCAACGAGCTTCATACCTTACACGACTCACAACAATTCCTGCCTAAATCGAACCATACAAACCAGAAATCCAAATGCCATCCGTCGCCGAGGATTATCCACGGCTGATGGCGATGGCGTCAGGCAGAAAGCGCAGACGAGACGTCAACGACGCCAACAGCAACGACCTGCATTTGCCAGGCCCCCTGTACGAGAAACTCGCCCAGTATCAGGCTGCAACGAACAACTGGAACGCTGACAGCGTTTTTGGAGGCAGGCCTATTCAGCAGCAGATTCAACAGCAGCAACAGCAGCAGCACCTGGGAGGTAACTTCCCTCGCTTCCCTTCCAGTAATAATGAACGGTTGAGATATGAGTTTGGATTCTCCCACGACATCGCTGCCTCCGCCGAAGCATCACGCCAGAACATCGACTCGGTGCCTCGGAAAATAGCGCCGCTTCCTGTATCCAAGCGACAGCGCATGTTTGACGACGATGATGACAATGATAGTGGGGAGCTGAGTAGCTTGAATGGCGGCACTACATCACAACACGATTCGCAGCAAAGACGGGGTAGCAGGTCGTCTACAGAGTCTCGCCCTGCCTCCCATGCAGCACAGAACCAGGCGGATGCTGCTGGCAATAGACCCAGGACGCCCTCGTCCTTGGCACCCTGCCACATCTGCCACCGCCGCCCTACCAAGAAATCAGACCTCGACTCATTTGCAGACTGCCAAGGCTGTGGACAACGATCATGCTATGTCTGCGTCCGGGAATGCCAGGGCTGGGAAAAGGACGGACGACCAAGCAGCAACGGCGGCATAAAAAGCACGCAACAGGACCAAGGACAAGACGGACTCGACCTCTCACGGTCATGTACGATGGATGATGTGGATGACGACAGGCAAAGGCAATCAAGAGAAGAGGAGGAGGCAAAGAGAACTGGCCGAGCCACTCGGCACAACGGCTGGACGGGCGGTGGTCATAGGCAGATGGTCTGCAGTCGCTGTTGTATCGAGAAGGGTTCAGAGGGCGACATCGTTTGCCTAGGCTGCCTCTCACGCATGGAGTCAGTCTAAGGCGGCTGCAACGCCCTGCCGAAGGGCAATATTTCTTGTTTTCTTGTTTTCAATCATAGCGTTCAAGGAGGTTCTTTTTCGACAGTCAAAACGCCCACGGAAGACGGTTGAGCGTATGGCACTGCTAATGAAGGCATGCATATTCATTTGGTAATGGAGCAAATCTGGGCAATGCTGAGGCAGCATGGGACGTTGTTACTTTTCTTTTTGCCAATGGGAGGACCACCTGGGAGATGTTACCAGGGAACAGCGAGAGCAAGGGATGGGTTGAAAAATACTCACGTCCCCTTATTCTCACTACGTTAGGTAGGCTGGAGAGGCGAGAGAGAGTGTGCCTCGTCTAGCTGTAGTTCAATGTAATTCTACGGCCAACACCACAAATTTTGCCAAATGAAGCCACCCCCTATGCTTCAGGGGTTGAGAATATCAGGCAGTGAGTGAGCCAGGGCTTGTAATGTTGCCTTGCAGTACGTTCCTCAAAGCACACCAACCTGCCACATGAAAAGTTACGTTAAGCGCTATCGTTCCTCTCTGCATACTTAGGTTGGGCAGGCAGACTCGTCATGTCACTTGCGAATTGCGCTAATGTGAAACTGCGATTGGCACATGAAAGCATGATCTATTTCTCCTTTCTCTCGGAAGGTATCACGCCCTCTAGAAGCCTTCCCCGATCCGAAGCCTGCCTATTCTTACAGCCTTTAGAAATAAAGGACATGACGAAACTCCGTGACCCCCTCTCCATTCCATCTCGTAGCCCCCGGGTTGCCCATCTTAGTTGTATTGCATGTAGCTGGCCGTCGAGTTGAACTTGAGGTTGGCCTTGATGACCTTGTCCACGGCGCTGAGGAAGTCCTTCTCCGTCGCCACCTTTCTCCGGGCGCGGATGGCGAACATACCGGCCTCCGTGCAGACACTGCGAAGCTCGGCACCTGTGGCGTTGGGGCACAGACGCGAGATGAGCTCCCACCGAATGTCACGCTCGACGGACATGCTCTTAGCGTGAATACGCAAAATGTTGGCGCGACCCTCGAGGTCGGGCAGGGAGAATTCGATCTTACGATCGATACGGCCGGGTCTCATCAGGGCGGGATCGAGAGTGGAAGGTCTGTTGGTTGCGAACATGACCTTGATATTGCCACGAGCGTCGAAACCGTCCAGCTGGGTAATGAGCTCCAGCATAGTTCTCTGAACCTCGTTGTCTCCACCGGCACCGTCATCGAAACGGGCACCACCAATGGCGTCGATTTCGTCAAAGAAGATAATGCAGGCCTTCTTCGTCCGTGCCATCTCGAAAAGCTCGCGCACCATTCTTGCACCCTCACCGACGTACTTCTGGACCAACTCACTGCCGATGACTCGGATGAAGGTGGCGTCTGTTCTGTTGGCGACAGCTCGAGCGCAAAGGGTCTTTCCGGTACCAGGGGGTCCGTACAGCAGCGCACCCTTCGGGGGGTCGATACCGAGGTTGACGAACCGCTCTGGCGACAAGAGGGGCATCTCGACGACTTCGCGCAACTTCTCGACCTGCTCCTTTGAACCACCAACATCTCCGTATGTAACATCGGGCTTCTCCTCGACCGTCATCATCGTAACACTGGCGTCGATCTTGGGCGGGAGCGGCAGAAGAATCTGGTACTTGTTCCTATCGACACCCACTCGCATGCCCTCTTCGATATCCGTAGGGCTCACTCTCTCGCCGAGCTGTACGACGAACTTGGCAATCTGCTTGACGTTGATGACATATTTGCTCTTAGAGTCGTCCTTCTCGTCGGGAATGATCTTTGTACACCGGGCGACCTGGAGAGGCTGTTCTTCCGACATGCGTTGTCGGTCTGCTGCTACATCCCAAAGGTGAGGAGGGGCAAGACCCGTATCGGATTCCTAGTCATGTCAGTCCGAGTTGCATCAGCCAAGGAGGGACAGATGTAGCTACCTTGACGCCAATCTTCTCGTCTACACTCGTTTGCTTCTCCTTGATCTGTTGCTCGAGCTTCTTGATGGCAGCACCGTACGGGGCGGCACCGTACGTCTTGAGCACTTGGATATCTCTGGGTATTGTTAGCCAACAATTCATCGTAGCTCGAAGTTGGTGGGGTGAACGGACTCATCGGTAAGCGGTGTGATCTTCTTCTCTTCAACCTCATCGTCTGCGTAGGTCTTCTGGTATTTCTCCCAGTTCTGGCCGGTAGCGGAAGGCTAATGATGCCCGGGTTAACACTGCTATCGAGGGAAGTGGACACGCAGGGTCCATACCATGATGTAGGATGAGGACTGAACGTCCTACTGCCGAATATTATGGATGGGGTAGGTTCGTGGGAATCTTCGTTTTGGATAGTTCGTGGGAATGGGGTCGCAGGGTTTCGAAGAGTGGTCGCGTTGGTCGTCAATCAGTATGATGCTGGGGGTTGGAATCGTGGGATGGAGGTGATGGAAGACGGTTCCGTAATCCAGGTTGCCTTGAGCTCCAAAGCACGGGCCACAAATGCGAGGCTGCTGTGGAGCTAGGCCCGGTGTGGGCAAAATGCAAACAGAACTGACGGGCCGGCTTAGGTAGCAGGCACACAGGGTACCTTAAGGTACCGGGGCAGGAACAACCTGACGGCCGCTAAAAAATATCCCACCGCCGCTGGGGGGGTTGCTACCTGAGAGAAAGTGGGCGATCGCAAAAGAAGGCGACAGCGGGACAGGCCCACGACGATACCGATACCTTTGCACTCCGTGTTTAGCTTGTCTTTCCGACCCCGAGTTCTCGATAACAAGCACAACACAAACCAGTTCTGTCAAAATGGCCACTACTGCACCAGCCCAGGCCGGAGGAGGCTCTGGCAATGCTACTTTCAAGGTGCGAACTGCGCGCTCATAGTGAAGCTTCTAGAGGGGAGCTTATTGCTAATACTTCACCTATAGGACAAGGAGAAGCCCGTCGCCGTCCGCTCCTCCAACATCGTTGCTGCTAGAGGTGAGCAAGATGAACAGACCTGCAAGCTTCTCAGATCATCAACTGACTCGATCTGACTGCTAGCCGTCGCCGATGCGATCCGAACCTCTCTGGGCCCCCGCGGCATGGACAAGATGATTCGAAGTGGAAAGGGCGAGACGATCATTACCAACGACGGCAACACAATGTTGAAGAGCATGTCTGTCATGCATCCGACAGCAAAGATGTTGGTCAACCTTTCGGCGGCACAGGACGTGGAGGCGGGAGACGGCACAACATCTGTGGTTGTCATTTGCGGCAGCTTGCTCGGTGCCGCCGACAGACTGCTGTCAAAAGGAATCCACCCCTCCGTCATCTCAGAGGCTTTCCAGAGAGCTGCTGCCGCAGCTGTCGAGGTTCTCCACGACATGTCACAACCCATTTCCCTCACCGACACAGCATCCCTGCTTCAGGCAGCCAACACATCTCTTTCCTCCAAGATTGTGTCGCAATACTCCAACATCCTCGGGCCCATGGCTGTCAACTCCGTTGTCAAGACCATCGACCTCAAGACGGCAGACAATGTCGACCTAAAGAACATCAGAATTGTCAAGAAGGTTGGCGGAACTATCGAGGACAGCGAGCTTTCGGATGGCTTGATCTTGACGCAGCCTGTTCTCAAGGGTGCTGGTGGTCCCGCAAGAATCGAGAAGGCCAGAATCGGTCTTATTCAATTCCAGCTTAGCCCTCCCAAGCCCGATGTAAGGCTACCCCTCAGGTGCCCCCTTTTCCGCTGTTGCTGACCAATACAGATGGAAAACACCATCCAAGTGAACGACTACAGACAGATGGATAAGATCGTTAAGGAGGAGCGTCTTTACCTTCTCAACATGGTCAAGAAGATCAAGAAGGCCAAGTGCAACGTTCTCTTCATCCAGAAGTCCATTCTTCGCGATGCTGTCAACGACCTGTCCCTGCACTTCCTCGCCAAGCTTGGCATTCTTGCCGTGAAGGATATCGAGCGTGATGAGATCGAGTTCATCTGCAAGTCTACCGGCTGCAAGCCCATTGCTGATGTCGACTCATTTACAGAGGACAAGCTCGGATCAGCCGATCTCGTCGAGGAGGTTCAGTCCAACGGAGCTCGCATGGTTAAGGTGACCGGCGCCAAGGCCACTGGCAAGACTGTCTCCGTCGTTGTTCGCGGCGCCAACTCTCTCATTCTTGACGAGGCCGAGCGCAGTTTGCACGACGCCCACTGCGTTGTTCGTTGCTTGGTGAAGAAGAAGGCTTTGATCGCCGGTGGTGGTGCTGCTGAGATCGAGATCGCGTCTCAGCTCTCCAAGCGCGCGCGTGAATTGACGGGCACCGAGGCCATTTGCTGGAAGGCATTTGCCGACGCTCTGGAGGTTGTCCCCACCACTCTGGCCGAGAATGCCGGACTTAACAGCATCAAGGTCGTCACCGAGCTTCGTCATAGACATGAGCTCGGCGAGAAGAATGCAGGTGTCAGTATCAAGTCCGGCGGTGTCAACACCAACATTTCCAAGGAGAACGTCCTCCAGCCTCTGTTGGTAAGCACCAGCGCCATTGAGTTGGCAGCTGAGACGGTGAAGATGATTCTCAGAATAGACGACATCGCCCTTACCAGATAAGGAGGGGAATATGAGTCACGAAATCAAAAACAAAAAGTAAAAGGGGAAATCCAGGCTTGATGATCATGTACATTACGGCTACCTGGCTTGATTGCGGTGTAGACGTGGGTGGGCCTGGAATAGAGGCGTCAAAACTATTAGAAGCTGAGAAGCAATTGATCACACCAGATACCTTGATGACACCTCAACCTAATCTCATTTGCCTTTTCTAATAACATTCACTTTGAGCATGGAAATTACCCTGGCCAAACTTGCTTTACTCGATTCCCACTCGTTCTGGTACATCTAGAGTAAGGCACTAAGTCGTGAATCAGCCTATGCCTGTTTCCAGCCTTCAGCCGGCGATTTCTGGCTTCCCCTTATCAAATTCGCCCACCCCTCGCTATATAATAACCTAGTCAGTTTGTCCAACGTTCCTCCATCAGCTGCTCTACTAAATACGGCAAACAGAGCGACCTCCTACCAACTTCAACTCCAAACACTCAATATATTCGATAGGATGGATTGCTGAAATTTTATATTTCACAATCATAACCAATTGGTCTTCATCAGTAAAACACGTGTCATTCTTTTAGTCTAAAAGGGACATCCGGCGCCAGAGCCCTCTCAGTCAAGGAGTGGACAATGCTACTCAACGATGTTGAGAGCATAAAGAAGAACGACATGACCTTTCATCTGACAGAGAAGAAGAGAAATCCAATAAGCACACGTCCTTCCAATCAGCCAAGTTGACATCTCCAGCTGGGGTTACCAACCATCGTCACCTGCCACTTTTTGACCCCTCCATATCACCAGCGTCAGCGCCTGAGCACCATAGATGTAATTGCTGGTTGGTTCGTACGTTCTTTACTTTCGCAGAGGCGTGAACTCGTCAGGAATATCGGCGGCAGAAGTGACATTGGGATCGGCTGCAATGGTGAAGCTAGATAGTGAAGAAGCAGTCAGCAACATCATTCTATGTTTGAAGGATTAAAAACGGAATAACAGATCATCTGTGTGTTGTTCAGAATGTAAGGGAAAAGATTCGTGGAAGCGCATACTAAACAGAGGGTTAGCGGTGTCTCTGTCATTGGTCTCTTGGGGTATAAATATCATACCAGTCTGTCAAGCTTGTCGGCCTCAAGACCAACAAGGTTATACTCGGACCCGTCAACAAGAACCAGAGTATCAGGCTCCTGGCTAGACTCGCACTTCTGCTCCTGCCCCTCACCTTCAGCGGCAGCACACGTCTCCTCGCCGGCCTCCTGAGGCGCCCTCTTCCTGTTCACAAAGCCGTAGCCGGCACCGGTGAAGAGGAACCCGCCAGAGCGCATGCAGACGGACGTGGCGCCGGCCGAGAGGATGGTGGCACGGCGGTTGCGGCAGTCGCCGCCGTCGTAGCCTCGGGTCTCGATGCGCCAGTTGGACGGAATGTAGCGGAAGAGGACGCTCTCGGCCGTGGCGCCGACGCAGCATCGGTTCGGGTCGATGGCTCTGCAGACGCGGAAGTTGCCGCCGCAGTTTTGGCCAAAGTGTTTCTGGATGTCGATGGCCGAGACCGAGACGGCGGCGGCGAGGGTGGTGATGAGTTTGAAGAAGTGCATTTTGAGGGTGGAAAGGGGGTGTTGGAGGTGGAAGTGGAAGTGGAAGTGATGACGGTTGGATGGGATGGTGATGTGGTGATTTGCTTGCTTGGTCTTGATGGTCGAGGATGAAGAGGATACCACGAGGTCATAACTCGGAGCGGTATGGACCTTTTATAGATTTTCAACACTCTATCAATGAGACTCATCTTATGGAATCATTGTCTTCTTACTTAGCCATGCAGGCAGCAAATGCTTCGCTTGATTCCCTCACACTGTCTGGCCACATGGAGGAAGCAAATTAGAGACTCACATCCCATCGACTCTCAAGATGACCTGGCAGTAAGCCCTAGATGTCTTCTGCCTTTGATTATTTCGAATTTAACTTGATCTAAACAGGCAAATCTATGTCGTTGCGACTTGCAGCCCAGGCCCTAGATACCTGCGATACTCTGTAAGTTCCAAGTGGCACGAGAGTAAACTTGTCTTTCAGTAAGGTCTCGAGTTCCTCCTCAGCATTATCAAGGTTCCCAAATGCATAAGGGGTTGAGAGTAGAGAGGCATTCTAGGATATGGCATATAATGCTCCTCGGTGCTAGCATTCTGCAGGGAAATGGATAGTTGTATGCCCGCCTCACGTCAGACAGACAAGATGTCTCACTTTTACGAAGAGAATAGTGATGATTAGCAATTTAGCCAGCTTTGATCAGTCCAACTCAGGATCCCTATGACCCACGTTATGTGTCTCTATATTGCCAAAAACGATTGAACCAAGAACTTGGCTGTAAGCCGTAGTCGTGCATTCGGAGAATAATGCAACATTGGTTGGAAGCTAGTCGCGGTCCCTCCCGTCGAACCATCCCTTTCGGGCGGCTGCGAGCGTTGTCTCACTGCCGCTTGATCTTGTCTTCCTATCGGAGTCGTCCCTTCATCCGAACGTTGCATCCCTACCTGATGGCTTGAGAAGGAAAACGATCAGCCACCTTGCCTCGCCAAGTCAATGTGACTGAGACTCCCGTGGCCTCCGTAATCATCTCAACCTCTAAAGGACGTAGCAAAAAAGCCCTCATGAAGCCAAAAGCAAGAAAAAATGTACTAGGCAACTCAAAAACTGTCCGCTCCATGGCTTGGCGGCTTCAGCTATGCCCCGCGATACTTCTTACTTCCCGTTCTGGTAATATGTTCTAGTAGGACTTGACAGCGGCGGCAGGTCCGCCATCTTATAGCTGAACAAGCGCACCACTTCCCCCAATGATATTATATCAACGAGAAGAAAAACATAGTCGCTCGAATTTGAGGACCGCCTGCTTGAATACTTAATCTTTAGTTGTCAACTCCCAGAAGAAGGGTTGAAGTGGTCGGTGAAACGGCCAATCGAATTTCCACCTCGCGCATAGGGCTGATCGCTTCACTGCGATTTCAACCCACTCGGAGTGGTCATGGCCAAGATGGTTTCTTCTACTTCGAGTATGAAGAGCAAGATATCATTTCAACTTTCATTGCACAGCTGGTACCGCTTCTTCGAGCATTTTTCTTACCGTAGGCTGGTTCTTGAGTGATAGTATAATTAGATCTGTGAAGTAGCGTTTGAGTGGCAGCCATAGGTCCTGCATCAAGTCAACGCCTTTCCGGCGTCAAGTTCTGAACATGAACGCGATTAACAAACTTGTAGAGAATATGGGGATATAAAATCACAGGGCAAATGAAAAATTATAACTTGAACTAGGTACGAGTTATAGAAGCAGACTAGAGTACTGTTTACACCTCTAGTCGACATTCTCCCACGATACCATATATACCAGCATAATGAAATAAGAAAAGATTCCCTAGAACCTATGCCTTCATTCACTCCAGGTCTGCTCCGAGATACGGCGACACCAGCGGCATCCCGCTCTCAAGCAGGGCCTCAGTATACGCAGTAATAAGCGGGTCCAGGCCCTGTCGAGAAGCACGGACAAGCCATTCTTGCATGTCAATCTCATCAGACGCACCGCCGTAGACGGTCTCCATGTGTGCGCGGAATTGCGAGAAGAGGGTCTTGATGCCGCCTGAGTGGTGGCGGAGGTGGATGGACGACGACGCTGATGGTGATGCATCTACCGCGGTAGGCTCAACAGTTGATGTAGAGGTACCCTGTAGAGCCGCCAACTCGACGGCGGCGGCTGCAATTTGTCCCACGACATCGTCGAGCCGCGCAAAGTCTAGGAACCCTTCTGCGCGCCGGAGGCGAGGTACGCAGCGCATGGCGAGGGAGTAGCGCAGGATGCCGTTCATTGCGTCCGAGTTGGGCGCTTGGGGGCTCACGAGGGTACAGGACCTGTGGATTGCGATCGTAAGGTTGAAGGGGTCGGGTCTTGGTGGTTCGCGTGCTCCAACCTCAGTGCCGTGATCACGCTCTTTGAGATGAATGATCAGATTCTCCAGGAATACTGCGCCTGTCCACTTACTCGCCGTGTATCCGTCCGAACCGTCGATGGCTGGCGGGGGGGAATCTCGGAGAGAAGATGCGGCCGTGGGGGTTTCGGTTTTGCCTGCCAGGAGCAGGGTGCGCGGGCTCGAACGGTAGAGAATTGGGATCGCTGTTTTACGGGGTGAAGCTGATGCTAGGGAAAGGGAGGCGAGAGAGTGTAGAGACTCGAGGTTCGGGCGGCGGAGAGTGGCGAAGCGGTTCAGGCAATGGCCGTTGGCGGCTGCGTGGACGATGATGTATACGGTTTTGGAGAGGAGGGTGCCTGTGTAATAGACTACCTCGGCGACGGAGGAAGAGGTGGAAGAAAGGAGTTGCTGGTGATCGGAGGGAACGGCGATGCAGTGGACTTTGCGGACGGGTGGGTGGTTAAGGAGGGCTGTGAGGATGTGGCTTACCGGGAAAGAAGATGCTCCTGTCAGGAGAACTTCGATGCCGGCCTCCGTCTTGTCCTTCTCCACAGCGGCGGCGGATGCGGCCATCGCCCCAATGGTCTCAACTTCCTCCCTCAACCATTCCGGAACAGCCGTCTCAGTATTCCAGTCTATCCGAACATTCTCCTCCGCGGACACGTTTGGGTCGATGAGCACGCGATCGATGTGCGACGGCAGCATCGCTCTCTCGGGCAACAGGCTCGCGGGTTGTGCGTGTGCGACGAACAAGGCTTGGAAAGCCACGTCCAAAATGACTGGATGTAGCACGTAGGAGCCGTTGCTTGGTCCCGGTGACGCAGCATCGGCATAAGTGTCGACGCTGGCATCGGCTGGCCAGACTGCCGTGGCGGCCGCGTAGCCGAGGGCGCGCTCACAGCTCTTCATGGCCGCAAATCCGTCGTGGTAACCAAGGCCGATCTGGCCAAACATCTCGTGGATGGCTTCGCCGTCGACATGAACGGCGTTGTCCGGAATCGGCTCCCGGTCTGGTAACACCGGACCCGATGCCAAAGTGGGGCCGTTGCCGGAGTCGGCGAGGCCGAGAAGGATGACTAAGTTACCACTACAGGTGAGCATCATGGCGTCCGTCACCTCGTTCGGACACACGTAGTACGCAAACTTGGCACGCACAACCTGAGCAGCCTTGTTATTCGGACTGTAGTCATCAGCCGCCGCCGGTAGCACCTGCACGGTAAACATTGTTTCGACTCCGTCCGTGTTATCAGGCACAACCACTGGCCGCAGAATGTCAACGTCCTCCACGGCCAGCGAAGCCACGGGCCGAGAACCGGCGACGTATTGCGCCGCCTAGGCTACGATGGAGACGTACGCGGCGCCGGGCAACAGAACCTCGCGAAGCACCTCGTGCCCCTTCACCCAAGGGATTTCACGCAGACGCAGGACGTTGCGCCACCGCAGCTCGTGATCGTTGTCATCGGGCATCCGTCGGCCCAAGAGCTCGTGTGCCGTGTCAGCGAGGGTACGGTACCGCGCCGAGATGCGCGACTCACGCCAGTATACCCGGTCGTGATCCCACGCGTAGCCGGGCAGATCCGCGAGTAATGACTTGGGTGTCATGATAGACGTATTGCTCTCACTCCATATGCCGCGGAAACCATCAAAATCGACATGCGCCGGTCCAAGCTGGGACCAGACGGACCCGATGGCCTCTTGCACGACAGCTACATCGCTTGCTTTGCGCTTGAGGAGACTAGCATACGGCGGCGCGGCACCATAAGCCGCCTTGAGCGTCTGCTCGACGGGGCCCTTGAGAGCCGGATGTGGCCCCAGTTCGATGGCCAGGTCAAATGGTCCGCCGTGCCATACGGCCGACTCGAGCGCCTGTGAGAACTTGACCATCTGTACCATGTTGGCAACCCAATATGGACCCTTGAGCGCAGCAAGAAGCTCTGCCTCGCCGCCCCGTCGAACAAGGCGAGCGTCGCCTCGGACGCTGGAACTCCACACGCACGCCCCTCGCCCTCTTCCTTTCCCTGGCTTGACGGAAATGTCGCAAGCCAGGAGGGCCTGCAGATAGGCATCGGCACATGCAGCCATGTGATGCGAGTGATACGCCGTGTCGAGCAGCAGCGGACGGGCAAAGATGTTGTCCCGCTCCAGCTACTCCTTAGTCCTGGCCACGGCGTCCCGGTCTCCAGAGAGCGTGCAGCTTTGCGGTGCGTTGCTGGCGGCTACCACCAGGCGGCCAGCGAATGCCGGTTGGCGGCACAGCTCCGAGGCCGCTGCGAGCGAGAGAACAACCGCCAGCATGCCGCCGCCATCCTTTGTGCCGGCGCGGGCTAGGTGAGCGTAGAAGCCGCGGTAGTAGGCGATTTGCATAGCGGCCTTGCGCGAGATGAGACCGGCGGCGTAGGTCGCTGCGATCTCACCTGAGGAATGGCCTACAATGGCGTCGAGACAGATTCCTGACGCAGTCAAGATGTCAATCTGGGCGATTTGCAACGCTGTACAGAGCGGTTGCGCCAGCTCAGCCTTGCCTAGGCGCGATATGTCCGCATCCTTGCAAAGCTCCTCAATGAGAGACCAAGTCGGCGCGTGCCCGTGGCCCTGGGGCAAGCCCTGTCATAGGACGGCTTCACATGCCTCGAGGCTGCGTCGGAAAACCGGAGATGCTGCCATGAGCCCGCGACCCATGGTGGCCCACTGCGCGCCTTGGCCTGTGAAGACGCTGAGAATGCCGGGGGCTTCGGCCGGGTTGATGAGGCGCGGGACGGAGCCGATGTCACCGCTCTTGGCCTTGCCGGCGTGACTCGTCACGAACCGAGCCATGGCATTCAGGACGTCTTGCCTGGTCGCGCCTGTGAGTTTGCAATTTAGATGTGCAACTCTATGGAGAGAAAACATTCTTCAAAGTGTCAAAAGGTGTGGCAACCGTAACGACGAAGAGAAATTAGACATGGTTGAAGTGCAATGAGACAAGCAAATTGCAGACATCCTCGAAAGCTAGAACCAACATAACTGTTATAGAGGATATCATCTACATTCAGAACTTCGGAGTCAGAACCACCAAGATGCAAAGCACACCTGCCATCACACTAGAAATTGAGAGTAGGATATCCGTAAGTGACAACAAACAAGATGTCTCATGCAGGGTGACTCCGCGTGTCCCACAAATCAAAGCTTACACGGAGGTTTCCCACTACGGGCAGGTCCTCCTTGCCGGCACCGTTCAACCCGCCAGAGCGGCCAGTCCGGCGCCGAAGTCTCCATCGGGAAATATGGAAATCCCCTCTCTTCAGGGCCCTGATGAGGGTCGCAGGAACTTGTCTCTATTATTTGCAAGGGGATACAGAATAAGCCTGGAACAACCTTCGATTCGGGGTGAAGCATTCTCAAAGTCTCCTGAAACTTAGACGGCTGAGCCCCTCCATCGCAGGAGGACCAGTGATCAACAAGAACGTCCTATGGGTGACCAGCATCGAGGCCCGGAACAAAGAGTTAAGTCCGCAAATACCACCGGCAGATGCCTGAATCTACATTCGGGAGATCGCCATTGGATGAACTGCTTAGGGGTCCTCTTTAGAGTTTCGGACCCCATCAACGTCAAAGGTAAGTTGAATGAATTATGAAGAACAGCAATACTTCCCGTCGGACCGTGCCTCCTCCGGCGCTAGTAATCGCCAAGTTGCATCCCGTTCGGCATGATCCGCTTGTGTGGCCATGTTACATTCCGGGTCGTCCCCGGCGACATTCATGGCGATGCTGTCAAACTCGCCGACCAACTATTTCACCCTGTGTGGGGTGGGATTTTGGCTTCAGCTGATGTTGATCACAGTTGACAAAGTTTTCAAAGTTTAGGATTCAGATTAGATCACATCTCTTCATCGTATCTCGAGCAGAAATAACGAGAAAGACTTCGGCGAGGTATGAAGTACTTCGTATATACAACACAGATGAGAGTCACCAGTATTCGTAACCGCTGAATAAGGTATCCCCTGAGTCATGTTGTAGAAACTGATAGTTGTACTTTCCACAAACATCTTACATGCATGCTTCGAATACTTCAGAGACGAGGTTTAATACTGCGAAGATAATACTCCACTGACTGGTTCCCTCAATACGTATACGGGAACGACCACTCGAGAGCACGCGATTGCTAAGCTTTGACTTTGCATCGGCGATAGCTCACGTTCAACGGGTCTGAACCGGCCAAGAGAAAGTCTGACCTCTGGCATTTCAAGGTAAGAACTGGAACGGTTCTATCTGAGCGGTGAGGAATGTTACGCCGGGCTATTGTCGCTTCAAAGATGGCAACGGACGGGAAATTGGAAGCCCGATTCTCATCATGGCTTCCTTGGGGAAGCACCTCAAGCTCCCAGACCAAGCCTCAAAAACGAGGGTGCGATTCCTAATAGTGACAGAGTGTATACGTCAGCATCTGCTGCCATATCTGTTCCAGCACTGATCCTGGACCCTTCTCATCGCGACTTTGTAATAGCATGCAAAGATGGTATACTTCATAGCTTGTCTACTGTTGGCCGCGGCATACGTTGTGTCTATTGTTATCTATAGGTTATTCTTCAGCCCTCTTGCTCGTTTCCCTGGGCCGAAATTGGCCGCTCTCACGTTCGGCTACGAGTTCTATTACGACTTTTTCAAAGATGGGGGTGGTCGATACTGGGCTGTGATCAACCGCATGCATGATGTATCAGGTAAGTGACGAAGTGATTCGGAGTTACTTGTTCAACTCCAATATGTTAACTTATCTCTCTATACAGGCCCCATAGTGCGTATAAACCCATGGGAAGTGCACATTCGGGATCCAGGGTTCGCCGAAGCCTTCAAAATCTCGAGAAAGACGTCCAGGCCGTGGTGGTATTACCGTTCCAATGGTCCGCCGAACAGTGTTCTACAAGCCGGGTAAGTGAGACTGCCTTATGGACGTCTGTCGTCCTCATTCACGAGTATATGCTGACCCCTTTTTCTTCCGTGCCTCTACTCAGCCCTCATGAGCTACATCGGATGCGCCGCGAGGCTATCCTGCCCGTGTTCGCCACCCCTCTGGTCATGTCTCGCGAACACTTATACGAGGCGCTGGTGCAAAGATTACTCGCGAGATTCCGCGCTGCCAAGGGCACCGGCGCCGTATTGACATGTAAATCAACCCCCCTCCCTCCCAATTTCCCTATACCTCTACTTCCCCATCGTCAGAGGTCTTGCGTGTGTACCTGGTGACTTTGCTGACCCGCTGACCTGTCCATGATCTCTAGTGGGTCATGCTTTTCGATGCCTCGCCATCGATCTGACGTGCACCACGAACCTCGGCTACGACTTTGGGTTCGTCGACGTCGAGGACTTTGAAAATGACATGTTCAAGATTGCGAGGACTTTGGGTCGCATGAACATGATCAGCCGTCACATCGGAAACTGGTTCTTTGCCGTAATGCGAGCACCTGCGCGCTGGGCCAAGCGCGCAGAGCCTGTCAGTCCTGGAATGATTCGTGTTCTACAATTTCGGAACGTAGGTGGTTTACTTCATCATCATCATCATCATCATCATCGGCGTCAGCATGAATAAAAAGCCTCCACGTGACTAACTGAAGTGTGTGGCTCCTCTGCTTAGATGATCGATCAGGCCGTCACAGATCAGTATCGCGCTGCAACGACCAATAACACAACTGTACGCGAAAAGACTGTTAGTAGCGTCGGCAGCGGTAATGATAGCTTCAAATCCACCGTCCAGCACATTCTCGCCTCAAACCTCCCAGCCCACGAAAAAGAGTTGACGCGCGTGGTAAACGAGGTCTGGATCTGCATCAACGCGGGCATCGACACAGAAGGCCAAGCCATCGCCTTTGCGACCTTTGTGCTCCTAAGCCACCCCAACGAGCTCGCACGGCTCCGCAAAGAGCTAGCAGGATGCGAAAAGAGACTCGGCAGACTCCCCACGTACCAAGAGCTCAAGGAGCTAAACTACCTACACGCAGTCGTCCAGGAGTCGTTCCGTCTAAACCACCCCATCGCTGGCCGCTTGCCCAGAACTGACCCGGACAATGAGATTCAGTATGGGGACGTGGTGATACCCCGGGGCGTCACCGTTTCCGTTTCCACGTACGATATCTACCTTGACGCCAACATCTTTCCGGATCCGCACAGATTCGAGCCCGGACGTTGGCTTGACCCGGGTGAGAGGAAGCGCCTTCGGAAGTACGTCAACAACTACGGCCGCGGGACCCGCAGCTGCGCGGGGATGGACGTGGCCAATATGGGCATCTATCTGACTCTGGGACGCATCTTCGCTCCGTCGGCTGGCTTCGAGGTAGCGTTGCATGATACGCTGTATGAGCGCGATGTCGCCTTTGATGCCGACTTTTTCGGGGCGTTTCCCAAGAGTGGTTCGAACCACATCAAGGCAATTGTAGTCTAGAGAAACATGATTTATGGGCTTGTGTTTGAGATAAGCAAATGTCTTCTGGGGCAAAGTGTCAGATTTCTGCTCAACAAAGCCAATCATGAGAATGACATTACCAAAGGCTCAAGTTCGCAAGACTTCCTAGCGGGTAAAAGCTCAAAATGAGTAGATAGGGGGACCTTTTATCGGCTCGCCCTTTTCCTTGGTACGCTTTAAATATGTTCAATAGACTACCTCTGGGAAGTCTGATCCCTCTTTGCGCGGCGAAACTGGTTGATAATTGTGGGTTGGTTGTTGTGTGACCCATGAAATTGTCTTCGGAGTTTCCCCAGAAAAGGTACCAAATTGTGTTTCCGTAGATACTTGTTAGCCATATAATCATCGTTGCATGCTCAACCACATATCTTGAAAGACATGTCCGGCAGACAAATCCACCTGAGAGCCTCCAACCAACCCGGAGCCATTCGTACCCGCCAGATCATGGTATACCCTTATTCGTCATCCTCTCCCTCTTCCTCGTCATCATCATCATCCTGTTCATCCTCATCCTCATCCTCGTCATCATCCTCGTCATCATCCTCTTCATCCTCATCCTCACTCCACCCGAAATAATGCGGATGAGCATACCCAGAATACAACGGTCGGCTCTCCACCCTCCTCGCCCGATCCTCCTCGCTCATCCTCCCCTCGACAAACCTCCACGTATCCATAACAACAACATACTCAACCGTATCCCCCTCCCCGTGATGAGCCCACGTCTGCCCGCCGAGTTTACTCGCCCCCGTCCAAGTCCACTCCACCAGCTCCGTCCCCTCGGCACTCAAATACCCTTCTTCCTCTTCCTCTCCATCCTCTCTCTCCCCTTCCCTCCCAGCACCACCACCTCCAACAACCAACTTCCACCCCTTATTCCTCCCCACAATCCCCATCATCTCCTCCCTCTTCCCCACAAGCGTCTCATACTCGACCCTCAACTCCCTCAACCCCTTCGGCCCCCGGAACCCCCGCAGCCAATCCTCCTTCATCCTCAAAGGCTCGTCGCTCTCCCAGTGCCACCAGTCCGAATACCGCACCGTGATCGTCAACACCTCGGGCCGGAATTTCGGCTGCGCAAACAGCGTCGCCAGGTTCCGCCCGTCTTCGAGCCAGTACATCTGCGTAAAGAAGCGCACCTTGGTCAGGTCGCGCGCATGTTGCTCCGTCAGGGCGGAGAAGAAATTCTCGCAGGCGTGGTTTCTCGTTCTTCCCTCCGGGCCGCGGTCTGCAGATTTTCATACACGATATTAGTTTCCTTGACCATACAACTCAAACCACATCAAATTCTCCGCAAAGACCTTTGTGCAGAGGCCAAACAGGGGCACAGGAGGAATAGTCAAAAAAGAAAGAAATAACGAAGAGGAAACAAAACATACCAAACCAGAAAGCCCACTCCAACTCCCTCAAAAACACCTTCTGCCCCTCCACATACGCCAGCTTACACGCCCTCAGCAAACTACTACTGCTCTTCCTAGGCCCCGTGAACCCAGGCCGATACCAGTACGAGTCCTTCGGGTACGCCGTATCCCCCTCCTCCTCCGAGACCTGCACCAGCGCCAGCGCAAAGATCTCGTTGCGGATCTCGCCTGGTAAAGTCCCAAAGAGCGGGCATTGGAGCTGGTTGTCGTACGTTGAGACGTCAATCGTCGTGGTTGAGTCCATGATTTCTTCTTCTTCTTTTTCTTCTTCTTCTTTTTCTTCTTCTTCTTCTTCTTCCTTGGCGATACCTCGTAGAAACGAAAGAAAAAAAATTCTTATGAAACAGATGATAATTGGAGGTGATGGTTGCCAAAAAAGTCCCCTCGTGCGAGTGGTGGCGTACAGACGACCACACCACTTATAAACCTCGTCCCTCTCCAATGGAACCGTGTTGGGCGTCGCACAGAGCGGGGTCGGCTGCCTGCTGTTGCCTGCATCCTCACATACTAACGTACCTCAACGGATCTCTCACGAACGGCATTCATGCATTTGACCAGCCAAGCCGATAATAATTCTCATTTCTATGGTTCCCTCAACACTGGGGAGTTGCTAGACAAACACTAGGCGCGATCTCTCCCAAAATTGCGGTGACGAGACATGAACAAAGAGTTAGGACGAGGAACCAAATTTAGAAAGAACTAGAATATGGTCACTCTACAAAACACCTTCTCAATGTCGAAAGTGATTCGTTCAATTATCTTTATTCCATGAAAGCGCGGCCGTAAGAATGGTATTACATGCAAGCATTAACATCTCCAACTCCAGCCTGTCCATCCTGATATCCTTCATACAAACTGGAAAGCATCGCACGACGAATCCCCGTACCGCTCTAGTGAGCAGCCACAGACTCGGTCTGCCTGGTTCCGTTGCTCACAATGCTATCGGTGTCCTTCTCCGAAACTGCCTGGTGACCAGGGACCGAGCCGGCTACGATCTTAGCGTCCTCGTCGTGTACCGCGTCCTGGGTGCCCCGGGTGTTAGACACGGACTCGGACGGTGCAGCGTTGAAGTCGTCCTGCTCTGGGCGCCAGTCACGCAGGTCATCCTCGGCGTCGTTGAGAATCTGTCGCGCCTGTTGAGCGTGGTGATATGTGGGACGCTCGTCGCCTGGTACGACAGGGGTATCATCGAGGAGGTGAAGAAGCCGTCGGCCGTGCTTGGCAAGGATGATTTGCTTCTCGGCCCTCTCAATAGTAGCTGCGAACTCGGCTTCGTACGCTTCCTTGAGCTTCTGGCGAGTCTGTCCTTCTTGTTAGTGAATGATCGGTGTGAGGCTAGAGGGGATGGTTTCGTACGATATTCGTCAGTTGGGCTTCGGCGACCAAATTCTCTGCCTCGGCGCGGACAAGCTCCTGCTCGAGGACTACGAGCCTCGCGCTCTGGGGCTCCTTCATCTTGAGCTTGGCAATCTCGTCGGCAATCTTATCCTTGCCATCGCGGCTCGGCTGCACACTCTTCTCCGTGTTGCGAATGTGCTTCAAAACACCGCGGGCATCGTCCAGGGAGTGAGCATACTGCTCCTCCTGCTCGCCAAGCTCGCTCAGGATGACGCCAACCTTGTCCGAGACGTCCGAGACGGCGGCGTCGTTGGTCTGCTCGCCCCACTCGGACAGCTGGGTGGCGATGGAGGTACGCTCGCGGCCGGCGGTCTCGTGGGCGTTGATGAGGTTGTTCTCGCTCTTGATGATCTTGTAGAGCTTGCGCGAGAGCTCGGGCTGGACATTGCCGCGGAGGGAGTTGAAGGAGAAGCCGGCGCGCTTGGAGGCGCCGTTGTTCTGGGAGCCGTTGCGGCGGTGGTTGGATCTGATGGAGAGTGATCGGTTCCTGTGAGCGTGTCAGTCGAGGGCTTCGAGCTTGGTGGGTATGGCTGTGTATAGACGTAGAAGGAGGCGTGATGGGGACCACTGAAGCGGAAATGCTCAAAGGCTTCGTGCTGATGGCGATGCCATGGCACTCGTCGCTATTTTGGGGGGAGAACCAGCGTCGCATTTTGGCTGATGTGGTGATGGCTGATGTTGTGTGAAGCGGATCTCACTTACATGATGGCGGTTGTCTGGATTTCAGAGCAAAGTTCCTCTGTTACCCAAGCTGTACCTTCTGATGATATCACGAAGCTCAGAGGAATGAGCTACCAGGATGCGGTGGGAAGGAATAAACCTGGTCCCGGTGGAGTGTTATGTGTACGAGTAAGAAGCTGGGTCTGGGTATCTACGGGATCTTGGAAGCCAAGACTCAGGTGCGCCTGTCTGGTTCAAACAATTGGGGCACGGCGCAGGAAAAGGGTGTTCGTCAAGAGGAAAGTTGCAGTGTAAGATGCGACAGCCGCGATGCGATGCGACAAGGGTCCTGCGTTGACTTTAAGAAGGGGTCTTTGGGGAGGAAAGGATGGGGGGAAGGAAAGCCTTTGCGACGGCACAGTCGGGATGAAGGAAAGGGCCGAGTGAGACACTCATGTCATAGTTTGGGCTTGCTGGCAGGCCGGCATTCCACATCACAGGAGAGAAACTAAACTCAAGAGAGTGAAAGTACGTTGGCAACAACCCGGGTAGCTCTCGTAGCTCGAAGCTCTAGTCTTCTTCGGGCCGGGGAGAGCGAGGCAGGCCACGACAGCTTCCCACCACTCTGGGCGTGGGCCTTCATGGTCAGCTCAAGTATCTTGTGGTGAGAGGACAATCCTTAAGAGATAGTAGCAATGAAGCACGTCGAGGGTTATAGTTTGGTGGGCGGTTTGTGCGGCTAGCTCACCTGTTTACTACAGTCTCGTACAACAGAACAAGCTCTCTCTCAACTTTTGGAGGTGTGGTGATGATGATGCGAAGGATGACGAAGGGGGGTTGGAGGGGTCGCGCCAATGATGTCATTACCCGTCCGGGGACCCTAAGCGACAACTCGGGAAAATCGTCCCCCTCCCCTCCATCTCATGGTGCTCTACCTCATGGTGGACAGCTCCCCCCCTTCAACTGGCTTACTCCGAATCGCATCATCGTGTGACAGACATTTCATAGAGGGACGTCTGTCACCAGGTGCTCATACACTTTTACAGGCACAATGCCTAATTAATCCCATAAGGCTGATGAATCAAATGCCACCAAACTCGGGCAACTTCCAGGTGCTCATCCCGTGTTCTGTTGCGCACGGCTGTGCAGTGTGTGAGGCTCACAGACGATGGAAGCCGCATGGGTTTGTCATGCGCACTTCTTCATTCGTGATAAAGCACTTGGTGGAAATTCATCCCTAGATGCGAGAAGAAGAAACTTCACCGCGTGAAGAATGCTTGTTGATCGAGCCGATATCATATAAACTTGTAAACTTTCGTAGCAATCATTACCGCCCAGTCCAGAAAAGACACATTAATCATACAGAAACTCCAGATCCCCAGAAGCCGAGGGATACCACACTCTCGTGATCACACGATCGAGCGCCTGTCTTAAGTCACGTTTAGACAGCTTTCTCTCTAACCAAAAGAAACCAGACCAGTGCCTCCCATATTCGCTATCGCTGTTCGCAATATTCTTCCACCATGGCTCATAAGAATAAACCTTCTTTTTCTTTCATCCGTCTCATGTAGTTGCCCGTTCTTCTTTCCCCCACTCTCTGAAACGTCCATGGGCCGTTCCCTCGTCTAAACTGCCCCCCGCTTCGTGCCGCTCCCACATGCTTAGGATTGTTCAAGCAGCTTTTCTGGAGCATGATGCTGATGCCGACTTGACTGACTGACTTGACTCATCGGTAGGTGCGGCTCGTCCTCTCGTAGACGACGGGTTCGACGTAGCTGACCCGCGGGCTGCTGGCGACGTACGACCTCCTCACGCTCGTGTAGCTCGCGCGCGGGGAGTGTCCGTGGTGGTGGTGGTGACCGTGGTGGTGGTGCCCGTGGTGGTGGTGATGGTACCTGGTCGGTACGATCTCCTCTTGGTAGTAGTACTTCTTGCCTCCTGCTCCGAAGCACATTTTGTATGATGGATAGGTGAGTTGTAAGCTCGGTGGTTTGTATGTAGGTCGCAGGATTCTGGGCCCAGTCGGTGCTTTGCAGTGAGCTATTAGAAGAAGTAGGTAGTCGCTTGTTGGATAAGGTTGGCGGTGTTGATATTAGGTCGTCGTCAGCTAATCGGGTGACAAGCTGGGTAATACGAGGTAGAAGATCCCAAAGAAGATTCTATTTGCTTCAAGTGCTAAGGCTATGCATGCGCCGGACTGGAAATGGAACGGCGATGGTGGTGGGCGGACAGGCTGCCTTTTTATGATTTCCCATTTTCTTCTTCAACCCCCTTCAACCCACAAGTCAGTCAGGCTTGGACCTCTCCTCCAAGCAAGTGTGTTCACTAAAGCAAGGTAAAGTAGCAGTAGTCAGGGGTGGAGGGGGGAAGGGAAGACTCGAGCTTTCCAAGGATTATGCGGTCAGTCATCCATCCCTTCTATCCCATCCATCCAACCCATCCCACCATTACCTACGATTAAGTGCCCTTTTCAGACGGGGACCGCGGCGGCCCTCACCGAAACCCTGGCGAGCGCGAGTGCTGGTTGGTTGGATGACGGTGGAGGGGAAAGGATTCATAGTGTAAGAAAAGCGGCTTGGCTTTTTCGTCTGCTGCATTTTCTGGCTTCTCGATTCTGCTTGTTGCTGGTGGGCAGTGTTCGTTGAATACGCCATACGGTTACTTTCTCTTCCAGGCTTTCCAGGCGTGGTCATGAGCAATGGGGGGAGTGGGCGCAGCTGCCCTGGTTTCCGAACCCATGCTCCAACCCGCGCCGGGGAACAATTACGAACAGACAGTTAGAGTTGGGGGACCTTGGATCTGGCCATCCTTGTTCAAGAACAAGCAGATATGACGGACGTAAGAAAAAGTTCGGGGCGTGTCTAGACCGCCTGTAAGAGCTGCGTTAACCGATTACCACGCCCAGAAAGCCAGGGTCTCCCCACCTCGCAGTTTGATCCGCGTGAGATGGCAAATGGGTCCCCTAAAAACCACCTCTCTACATACAGCTCAGCAAAAAAGGTAGGGCGGACGGTTCTAGCTAGGGAAGAAAAGTTGGTTCTTTCGTAAAGAGGCAGGGTGAAGGGGTCTAGAACATCTCATCGTCTTTTTTAGAGTTGCGGCCTGACAAGTCACAGAATCACATAGTGTAAGGCCTCAAAACGAAGTAAACCTTTTGCAATTATCTGCCTGTCAAATAAATTCCTCTGCCCAACACCCGGCTCTTGAATCCGGGAACACTCTCTAAAAGAAACGGTACAGGTATCATTGACCGTTACCGTTACAGTCAAAAACGCCAACCGTTCCTGCAAAGAAAGCAAGGAATTGTCCAGTGTAGGGGAGGAAATCCGCCACGGGGAATAAAAACACCACCAAAATCCTGTCAAACAAGCTTACCCTGCGACCGACGATCTCGGGGGGCCATGGAATTATTTTTCCCTGGCCACTACAAGTTCCCTACAGGCCACCGTCACCTCTTAGTTCCTATCGCGTATAAGAAAAAGACTGGACGGCAGTTCAATCGCGTCGAGATCAGATCTTACTGCTAGGTGTCCGGTCCACTCCACCCACACACCACCACACTCACCGCACTGCCCTGCCCGCATCTCGGGTCAGCCCCTCGACGTCAGCCTGCATCCCCTTTCCCGGGGACCGGTCTCGTCTTTTGGTTTTGACAGCAGGGATGCTCTTCTCGAAGGCTTCTGCTCAAGTGCCTACGGATGCACTAATTGATAGGAGGTGCTAACTTTAGCATCTGTGATCCTCCCTGCTAGGCTAGGAGGTATGATGACAAAAGTTAGAAGAAGGCGGGTTCACGTGGAGGAGTTTAATTGTCATAGGTGGACCAATTCGTCAGTCCAAATCGTGATTCTCTAAAGCCGTTTCGTTCCGCGTTCTGCTTTTTGGAAATGCCCATCTGATGTTACATGTACAATGCTATGAAAAGCCCACTCAATTCCCATCCTTCCGCCCCTTGCTGTCTAAGAGAGGTATCGTTTGCATCTACGCATTGGTCGAAATCTTGGGGTTCAGTCCTCCAACGAGCCATGCGGCGGCGAACAGGGAAATAAAGCTGACGAAGATGACAAGGGGCTTCCGCAGGGCGGAAGACACCGAGTACTCGTAGGAGACAATCACCTCCCGATCCCGGAACTCGTCAACAAGGTTGTTGGCCTTGATGGTGACCGAGGTGCGTCCAACGGTGTCGAGGTACGTCTTGTGGACACTGATGACAGAGTCGACAATGGAGGACTCGGGGATGCTAGTGTAGAACTTCACGTTCCTGTGACGTCTTTGTTAGAACCCGAATAGTAAAATAGACTTCTCTCAAATTTCACTTACGTTGCTCCCTCTGGCAGGAGAATCTGCAGGTTGACCTTTGCGTACTCGATTCCCTCGGGCTGCTTAGGACCCTCGAGGAAGGGGACGTTGACAACGTACTTGCCAGCCTCGACGGTGCGGACAAAGTTCTTGGCGTCCGAGTTCCAGCCGATGGTGAAGGGGTACTTCCAGCCGCCAAAGATGGGGTAACGAGGCTTGATCTCCAGGAGCGCCTCGCGCTTGTTGCTGCGGAATCTCGAGGTAGAGACGTTGCCAATAGCATCGACAAAGTACGGGTCCGCACTTCCCACCTTGAGGGGGAACTTCATCTCCTTGAGAGCGTAGGTGTTGGGGTTGTAGTACGCCGCCTGCGCCCACTTGACGCGGTTGAAGAGCTTCGACAGGTTGGCGCCGCGGTGGTAGAGCTCGTATCTCTCCTCAAAAGCCACATTTCCTCCCCAGTGGCTGACCTCGATATCGCGATCGAGCTGGGCGACGTGGGTGACGGGCTTGGTGAACTCGAAGCGCACCTGGGCGGGGGAGACGGCACCGGCGGGCTTCTCATCAAAGGGACCGTAGGTGAGCTTAGCACCTTGCTTCTGGGGGAACTCCTTGATGTCGCCGCTGCCAGGCAGCTTGGTGTAGTCGGGGATGTTGGACGAGTGGGACTTGAGCTCAGTCTTCTGCTTCGAAGTGACGTAGGCCGAGGGCGCGTACACGGAGAAGTCGTAGGTGAGGAATTGTTGCTCCTCCTGGGCGATCGAGGCCGGCAGGGGCTTGTAGGCCTGGAGAAGGTAGTAGGAGATGCTCAGCGTCTGCTGGCCGCCGGCCTTCAAGGGCGTAGGGAGCTGGATCTTGTAGTACTGAGTCTCGCTGTTGCACCTGTTAGTTCGCCCATGTGCACTATTGGGTGTGCGATGTGCCCAAGAGCCAAAACGTACCTCAGGGGATCATACTCGACCGCATCAACGGTGAATGGGCCAGCTTCGGGGTTCTTCCTATCCTTGGCCTCGAAGCCTCCAATGCGCGACATCTGCTCGGGGGTGAAGGGTAGGTAGTATGCATCTTGGGGCTGCTTATCAATGTTCTCAATCAGAACATTGATTGACTCCTTGACGTAGTTCTTCTCGAGGGAGACAATGTGGACAAGATTGGCGTTCTTGAAAACCTGGGGCGGCTTGAAGTTGGCGGGCAGGTTGACCTTTGACACCTTGTCACCTGCAGTCGTCGAGTCGGAGCTTGCGACAATCGGGGAGAGCAGGCTCAGAAGCCCGGCGGCAATGGCGAAGGCTCTCATGATGTGGGTTGGTGGAGGGAATTGCTCATCGACAGAGCTCTCCCGGCAATTGAGAATCAAGAATGGAGAAAAGCGGTTGTTGAGACGCAATTGGGGGCTTTCACTCCATTGCCCGAATTGATGATCTGGCTCCTGAGACAGCTACCCCCAGCCAAAAAGCTTACGGATACGTTGCTTGACGGCGCGCACGGGCCACGGGTAGCTCCACTTCACTGGGGAGTGGCCGGGTCGGGGCTGGGTTAGTCCGAGACGGGCACGCGGCACTGGCGCGGCCTCGGTGGAGGTCAAGCCACACTTTACCAATGGCAGGTGCCACTGCGGGACAGCTTCAGCCACGCGCTTCGTCCACGTTTTATCTCCTCGCTTAGGTACTTGGATACTTCATCACACGGGGCTCCATATCTGTAAATTCGCCAATGATGACTGGCTCCTGGCATCTGGTGGGGTGGACAGCTACCGACTCTCTTTTCCTTAGCTGCCATTTGTCCCTCAACAAGACGTCACGCACCGCAATCTCCGGGCTTTGGGAACGATTGAGAACGGCGCTTCCGGTGCTTCCAGTCCGTTTCTCCCGGGATGCTGACTCTCCTGGCTTGTATTCAGGTGCTCGTAAGATGTGGTATGTGGGAACACACTCTTCCAGCATCTCCTTCACGTGAGATATGCCATCGGAGATAGGTTAGTAGACAGCTATGGTCAGTTCAGGTCAACCCTAGGGGTCCACCGCTAGCTGCCATCTACCTTGACCATCCCAGCTATGGCAAGACCGCTGCAAATCTCGTGGTAACCTTTGGACGAGCGAGACGCGGGCTGGCGGCTCTGGTCCGCGACCAGTGGGACAACAGAGAAAAAGGTACCAAGAAAACTAGTGTGCAGTGTTTGGAGTTTGAGCTGCCCTGGTACCTAAGGCTCGTACGGATATACCAGTAAGGAGATAGGTAGACAGACATTGGATGACCCATCGGAGATGTGCCTCAGCGGCTTCGGGGGACTCGACTCGTCGAAAGGAAGGGGGCCACAAAGTAAGGTAACCGTAGTGCAGCAGCGTGCAGTGGTGCTGAGTGAGTGATCTCCAGTCCTGACAAGGTCCAGTCTGCCCGAGTTTGACCTCCTACCTCACCTCCTTCCCTCTCGGTCAGATGATCCACGCCCATTCACCTTTTCCCTCAACGTCACTTCCCTCACCCGACGCACTTCACCTCTGGCGAATTGACCGCCTACCACCACCCACCTAGCAACGAACACAACACCAAGCAGACTTATCGTGTGTTTTTGGCCTACATCCCTACGAAGCTTCCGACAGCTTTTATTTTGCTGCACCCATCATCACCTATAGCTCAATCGCCACCCCTCATCAACTTTTACCCCGCCATCCGTCAGAGCTTCGGTCAAAATGGTTGGTCTCGGTCCCAAGGTTCCGCCCAGTAGGAAGGGTAAGTTTTGCAGCTGCGATCCCCCCTTCATTTTACTCCTTCTCCCTACCTTTGAACTCCTGGAAATACCCAAGGGCGACACGATGGCCTTATATGCAAAAATGACATGGTGTGCCGCCTCACGTTGAGACTGAGACAGCTCTCGAGATGATATGGTCTTCAAGCTACTGCGCACTGTACGCCATTCCGCTGGTGTCGTCCCACCCTCCAAGTCATCCTCAACGCCTCACCCTCAAAACTTTCGTCCCGCTCGCACCATCACAATCACCACCATCCAATCCTGCCTCTCACCGACGGCTGGAACGGCCAATTGCCATTCGGAGATGACGCGCCACAAGGCTGGACCGCCATGCAGCACTTCCCGGTGGCCGGAGCTTCCCCAAGCCAGAGGGGTACCTTGCTTGTCAAGCAAAAGCAACTCTCTTGGGAAAAGCTCAAGCCATCCAGCGTTGAGGTGGAAGACCTTGTCTCACTTTGCCAGACATTCCCCCACCTTGATCCCCCAGCTTTCTTTCTCCGATGACTGCAACTGTCTAGTTATAAAGAAGCTGGCAAGCGCTGCTTGTCTCCCCTCCAGACCTTTGTGTTGACCGCTACATCAATTGCTTGTTGTTATTTGCCCTTTGTCTCGAGAGCTTCGATTCTGGATCTTGTTTTCCTGAACACAATCATTTTGTGATACCCATCCACCAAACGTTGTCACGCTCAAGTGTGGCAAGACACCAAAATCTTACAGCCAGCTTCACACAACTGTCACGATGGTGGACAGAGCGATTGCTCCCGCTACAAGGGAGAGATCCTACCACCACACCGATATCTTTGTGCCATCACGTCAAAGCAAGAACACACATCTACAGATTCAACACATTCATGTCCGCTAACTATGTGTGAAAATCTAGGTTCCATGGCCGATGTGCCTAAGGATCTTCTGGCTGAGGTCAAGAAGCTCGAGGAGCAATTCACCGTTCCGACTGAGAAGCTCAAGCAGATCAGCGCGCACTTCATCACAGAACTGGACAAGGGTAAGTTGACACCTGTTGGAAATTGAAATTTTTCATGGAACTGACTTGAAGCATAGGTCTGAGTGTCGAGGGCGGTAGTATCGTATGTTGAGACCTGAATATTTGTTGGCATTTGGAGCACCTTTCTAACTATGTCTACAGCCCATGAACCCGACCTGGGTTATGTCCTTCCCTGATGGCTACGAGACCGGCACTTACCTTGCCCTCGACATGGGCGGAACCAACCTCCGTGTCTGTGAGATCACCTTGACGGATCAGAAGTCTGAGTTCGACATCATTCAGTCAAAGTACCGCATGCCCGAGGAGCTCAAGACCGGCCAGTCAGAGGAGCTGTGGGAGTACATTGCCGACTGCCTAGCTCAGTTCATCCAGACTCACCACCCCGATCACCCTCAATCTCAGAAGATTCCTCTGGGTTTCACCTTCTCCTACCCTGCCACCCAGAACTACATCGATGAGGGCATCCTCCAGCGCTGGACCAAGGGTTTCGATATTGCCGGAGTTGAGGGTCACAACGTTGTCCCTTTCCTTGAGGCTGCTCTGGCGGCCAAGGTATGATAAGATTACTTGAGCACAGATGAAGCACTAGTAACTAACTCCCGCTTAGAACGTCCCTATCAAGCTGTCTGCTCTGATCAACGATACCACTGGCACCCTGATTGCCTCTGCCTACACCGACACTAAGATGAAGATTGGCTGTATCTTTGGCACTGGCTGCAACGCTGCTTACATGGAGGACTGCGGCTCCATCCCCAAGCTTGCTCACATGAACTTGCCTCCCAACACCCCCATGGCCATCAACTGCGAGTGGGGTGCTTTCGACAACGAGCACAAGGTCTTGCCTCGTACCCCCTACGACATCATCATCGACAAGGACTCTCCTCGTCCCGGCCAGCAGGCCTTTGAAAAGATGATTGCCGGTCTCTACTTGGGCGAGATCTTCCGCCTGGTCCTTGTTGACCTCCACGACAACAAGTCTGTGCACATCTTCGAGAACCAGGACATTGCCAAGCTCCGTAAGGCCTACACCTTGGATTCCTCGTTCCTGTCCGCCATTGAGGAGTAAGCTTTCTTAATCTTGAAGACTGCCCCAGATTAGTATGCTAATCCGATACAGCGACCCCTTCGAGAACCTTCAGGAGACTAGCGACCTCTTCCTCTCCAAGCTGAACCTCAAGGCCACCAGACCCGAGTTGGAGCTGGTCCGCCGCCTTGCTGAGCTCATTGGCACCCGTGCCGCCCGCCTCTCGGCTTGCGGTGTTGCTGCCATCTGCATGAAGAAGGGCTACGACAACTGCCACGTCGGTGCTGACGGTTCGGTCTTTAACAAGTACCCCCACTTCAAGGCCCGTGGCGCCCAGGCTCTGCGCGAGATTCTCGACTGGCCTGCTAAGACCAACCCTAAGGAGGAGGATCCTGTTGAGATTCTCGCAGCAGAGGACGGCAGTGGTGTTGGCGCCGCCCTGATTGCCGCCTTGACCCTTAAGAGAGTCCAGAACGGCAACATGGCTGGCATTCTCCACCCCGAGAACTTCACATAGTCGTCCCAAGACACGAGGACGGGTTGAAGAGGCAATGAGATTAAACAAAAAGCGAGGTCTTGTTAGATTGGGGGTTCTTTTTGATAGGAAGTCTTATCTGCATTGGCTCTACGGTTATGTCCACCAGACCTACTAGATAGCTCATACAAGCAGTATTCCTACCCCCATCCCAGCTTTTACTTATTTTCAGCCCATGAACGTGCATGTGGGCAAGCGGTACTCTATCACCTGTTAGTATTGTTGAGGCATCAGTACACCCAGAAGAAGAAAACTCACTATCCAAAGTCCAGTACCGGCGCACGACACCCTCCCACTCGCCGGCGCCAGCCTTTTCCAAACCCTTCATGTCGACGTCCATCTCGTCCCACTCGACGTCCAGACCGGCGTCGGCCATGTGCATCTCGACGACCTTGGTGTAGACGTCGTAGCATATCCTCCGGTCGGCGCCCAGACCGTTGAAGAAGCTGAAGCGCCCCTCGAAATCGAGCAGGCCGGGGATGTACTCCGTGAAGAATGTCTTCAGCTGGCCGTACTCTTCGCCAAAGGTGTCAAAGTAGATTGCGTCGTAGACTTCGCCGGCCTCGAGGAGCTGGGGGACGATGTCTTGCCACCTGCCGCGGTGGATTTTGTAGGCTCCTGGTTGGGGGGATGAGGATTCCCATGATGCGCCGAAGGTGGAGGGGATCGAGTCGTCTGGGTTTGCGGTGGCTTTGGTGGTGTTGTCGATTGCGGCGAGGACTTCGGGGTGGGCTTCGATGATGTGGTGGCGGGCGGGGGATGTGGAGCGGAACATGCTGTCGATTATGCCCATGCCGAAGCCGATGTTGAGGATGCGTTTGCCTGATGTCGCAGAGGCATCGGCGTCCGAGGAGTCCTGTGGCGGTGGTGGGATGAGGGCGTCGACGCTCTTGCGCATGATTTCCGTCTCCCACGCCATCATGACGCCGTTGCCGGCCTCGTCGACGAGTTTGCCGGAGGAGTAGGTCAGGTTCGAGGCGAGGTACTCTTCCGAGTTGAGGGAAGGGTCCTGGACGGCGGGGGGTTGGAACGTTTTGGGTTCTTGCTGCTGTTCCCCTGAGACGGGTGCAGGTGCCTCGACGAGTTCTGGAGCTTCTTCCGCATCGTGTACGTCCTCAATGACAACG